ACATGGCTGTTCCCTTTTGTCCTCTGGATTGAGGGTCATAATGAGGCCAGTCTGAGGGACCATGGCTGTCACCGGTTCAGCTCTATGGCAGAAATGGCCTCTGAGTTCTCTGCTTGTATTGGCCTTAGGAGCATATGATACCTGGTGTGTGTGTGTGTGTGTGTGTGTGTGTGTGTGTGTGTGTGTGTGCGCGCGCGCGCGCGTGTGCGCGCGCGCGCATGCACTCCTATAGGTCAGAGGACAGCTTGTTGGAGTTAGTTTCTCTACCATGTGTGGGTCCTGAGGATCAAACTCAGGTCATCAAGTTTGGTATCCTGATCTGCTACCAGCCACTCAGTCTTTTAAAACAATAATTATAAAGATTGGAATACCCTAGGAAAATATTAAAACAATATTAAATGCTAAAAGCAAAGCATAAAGTTACATGTACTATAATTACAGTTAAGATTAAATTATTGGTTTATAGGAAACAACTTGAGCAAATACCAAAAAAAATCCTACCTGTTATTATAAGTTATTTAAACTGTATCCTGATCTGCTACCAGCCACTCAGTCTTTTAAAACAATAATTATAAAGATTGGAATACCCTAGGAAAATATTAAAACAATATTAAATGCTAAAAGCAAAGCATAAAGTTACATGTACTATAATTACAGTTAAGATTAAATTATTGGTTTATAGGAAACAACTTGAGCAAATACCAAAAAAAATCCTACCTGTTATTATAAGTTATTTAAACTACAATTGATCCAGGTTTGGTGGCATGCTCCTGTAATCCCAGCATTCAAGAAGCTGAGAGGCAGGAGGATCTCAAGTTCAAGACTAGCCTGGATGACATAGCAAATTCAAGGGCCATCTGGGCTACATAGTGAGGCCCTGTCTTCAAAACAAAACTGAACTATGGGTGATTTACTCTCCTTTTTAAAATAACTTTAGAGATGAGGGTATAGCTCAGTGGTAGACCACTTTCCTAGCATAATACTCTGCCATGTTAGAGGTATAATAGCAATAAATAATACAGATATGGTTCCTTGTTTTGATAGTGTTAGGTGGCATATTTGTGAAATAAATTCCCCAAAACATAGAGTGATTTATGAAAGGACATAAGGCACATGTATTAAGACCAGTTGATTTTATTTTGTGGATTTGTGTTTAATTATGGTATACATCATCTTACAGTCTGCCTCCCTTCTTGTTGTACCCTTTGTCGGGTACGTGGTCTTCATCCTAACATTCTCCATGATGAATCTAGCTGTTTCCTTAAGTTGCTAGCACATTACAGTTGTAAGCTTAAGTATTTTTATTATTCGGCTCCTTCTCCAACAGCCAGCAACCCCAACTCGCACAATAGCAGCAACCCCAATTCAGACACTTCCACAGAGCCAGACGACACCAAAGCGAATTGATACTCCCAGCTTGGAGGAGCCCAGTGACCTTGAGGAGCTTGAGCAGTTTGCCAAGACCTTCAAACAAAGACGGATCAAACTTGGATTCACTCAGGTAGGTTAAACCTGCCCTACCTTAGATTCCCCCCCTTGGCAGGCTACAGACACTTATATCACATGTCTAAAGAGGCTTTTAAGGAACGTTTGCTCCTCAGCCATGTTGCTTTTTGTTTTAGTTATAATTGATTTTGTTAGTCATTTTCTGTTTATAAGTTTAGAGCATTTTACATTTAGTTATAAGTTATACATATACATTTATTTATGACACTATTAGGCTAAAACTTTCAAAATATGTCTTACAGCACAGGTCTCTGAAATTATGTAAATAAAATGTGAGAGTTTTAATAGATTATATGAGGGTTAATATGACTGTACTGAGGGTTTTTAAGTTTGAAAAATCAAGTGGTTGTAGAACTTACTACTGAATGAGTGAGGTGAAAAGAGTGAAGGTTTCAGTGTTTTTTATAGTAGCTGGAGAGAGATATGTTTGCAAGGCTTATTTAAAACCAGTTTGGGAAGAAAAGAGTACTCTCTCTTCTCCTTCTCCCCTCCCCCAGACTATACTGAGATTAATTAGTCAAATCAGAATCTGTTGAAGATGAAAAAGTCCAAATTAATCAAAATCCAAAATAATCTTTTAATGTCACCTAGCAGAGGACTTTAAAAATGGAATGAAATCTTGTGCTTAATGGTTTAAGCAAACATTTGGGCACACAGCATTTTTTCTGAGCACTGCCACTGACTTTTCTCCCTTATTAACCTGTCACAAGTAATACTTTCAAAACAGGGAAGGCATTAAACTGATATTATATAAAATGGCAGAAGATCATTAGATAAAAGAAAAAACCTTGAAGTATGGATTGGGCTGCATATTTATAGAATCAGGAAAATAGTCTAATGTCTTCTTTCCAGAAAATGTAGTTACATTTGGAATTCAATCCTTCACTCAAATGCTTCCCAAATTAATTTGTGCTGAAAGTGCATCATGTACCACCTGTTTTGGTAGATCAAAATTCAAGATAACATCTCTGCCTGCTGTATTCAAGATATCTTTAGGGACACAATTAGATTTATTTTTTATTGGGGATTTATTTTTGCTCAAACTATATATTAGAATGTAAAATGATTTCTTAATATTTTTATTATTTTTATTTCATGTATAATGAGTATTGCCTGCATGTATGTAACTGCATCTGTGTTGTGCAGTTTCCACGGAGGTCAGAAGAGAGCTTCAGATCCCCTGGAACTGGAGTTAGGCACAGTTGTTACCGCCATGTGGGTGCTGGGAATCAAGGGTCCTCTGCAATAGCAGTCAGTGCTCTTAACCACCAGGCCATCTCTCCAGCCCCTGTAAAATGATTTTTTAAATAGATAGAATTTTAGGTGAATGCAGTTACATTTTTGAAGAATTTCAGTTACAAAGAAAGAAACGACTGGCCCCGTGATGGCTCTGGTAGGTGTTGTACCTGGAACTCACTTGGTGGGTAGAGTGGTGGGTGGAGTAAACTGACTTTTGTAAGTTTTCCTCCACAAGTACACTCGATTAGATTAGGATTAGGATTAGATTAGTTTAGATTAGATTAGATTAGATTAGATTAGATTGATGATAGGCAGAGATAGAGAGAGATAGAGAGATAGATGAGAGATTAGATGATAGATAGAAGATAGATAGATAGATAGATAGATAGATAGATAGATAGATAGATAGATAGATAGATAGGTTTAAAAAAACATTTTTTAAATGAAAAAGGGCCTCTAGCCTTTCAATTATAAGACTTGGACTTGGGCCAGAGAGATAGCTCAGAGTAAAACTATTTGCTATGCAGGATTGATAACTTGACTTTGATCCTCAGAACCCATGAAAAAAGCTGAATGCAGTGGTATGCATCTGAAAAATGGGAGGCAGAGACAAAGAATCAGCCAGAAGCTCACAGGCTAGCCTGGAGTACACCACAAAGGGGCAGAAACAACTGGAGAGACCCTGCCTCAAAAACAAGGCGGAAGATGAAAACAATGTGCCTACGCACAAAAAATAAATAGAGAGATGATAGAAATAGATACATAGATAGAAGATAGATAGATAGATAGATAGATAGATAGATAGATAGATAGATAGATAGATTAGTTTTTTTTTTAATTTTAAACTACAATCCAGAAACATTTTAGTAATTTTGGAGCACTAAATGATTGACTTATTTTGAAAATGAAAATAAAGATAAACTAAATTGTTAGGAATAAGTTAATAGACTCAAAAGAAAGTTTAAGTTTAACATATTTAACTGCACTAAGTTTTTGGCTATTAACACAGTATACTCCTGGGTTCTCTGGGAAATTGTTGCCTAAGTAGGTCAAGGATGGTAACCCAAGTAGTGGTTTTCTTTTTCTGTAGTATTTGATCCAATGCACTACCCGAGTGAGAATAGGGATCTGTCTCTCCCTCTCCTCTCCCATCCCTTTCTTCCTGTCTTCCTTGTCTTACCTCCCTACACACCCCACCCCACCTCCACATCTCATTCTTTCTTTTTTATGGTTTTTATCCACTTTCACTTTTTTGGCAAGGCCACTCGTCATTTTTCAAAATGATGTCATAGGAGTGGAATGGTTTGCAAGTCTTGCCAACATAGACAAGAGTACTTACTACTGTACAAGGTGGAAAACCAGCTTCTTAGTCTTTATTTTTGTCATATACCTTATTGTAGTTACTCAAAAGTAGCTGTGTATCCAGTTTATTCATATTTGTACACATACACACAAAAGGAAAGTTAAGTGTTCAAGTTACTTCTTGTAATAAATCCTTATTCTTTGAGTAAATGCATGGTTTGGGATGTTTTTAATGTTTACTTTCTAATTATATAAGTACTTATCATTGGGTAAGCAATGGGTGTCATTGCATTGTTAGGAAGCACATCATGATCTATAGCATTATTCAGATGTAATGTATTCGTTTGTTATTTTCGGTCTCAATCTTTGCTTTTCCAACTTAATGTTAGTTTTATAAATGGCAGAGGGATATAATTTTGATTGTGTATGTTGAAATCAACTGATTGAAACAGTTAACTTGTATGAGAAAGAACCTGAGTACTAAACTAAGCATGACCAAAATTAATTAAAATTAGCATGTTAACTGAAGAACCTATTGCCTTTTATTGTGTTAAACAACCTTAAACAGTAAAATTGTATCACAAATCTCCATTAAGTGAATTTTCCATTTACTGCCAAAGTTCCAGTTGATTGGTGGCATAGCTTTATTTCTAGCTACCAACTTGTTATTGGGGTGTGTGTGTATGTATACATGCATGTACCCATGGAGACCAGAAGTCAGATCTTCCTTGATTACTCTTCACTTTATTTCCTGAGACAGGGTTTTTCAGTGAACCTGAAGCTCACCAATTCAGCTAGGCTGACTGACCAGTAAGCTCCAGGCATTTGCCTGTCTATGCCTCCCAGTACTGGGATTATAGGTGTGCAACCTGCTTTTTACATAGCTACCAGGGATCCAAATTCAGGTCCTCTTGTTTGTGCAAAAAAGTACTCTACTGACTGATCGATCTCCATATCCCCAAGTTATTGCTTCCTAATGTACTATAATGTGGTTTTTAAATAGGTATTTTGTTTTTTGCTTACTTGTCAAAATTGTTAATTTTCCTAGTAAGATAATACAGGTACTTGTGAGACATTTTTAGTAAATTGTACAGTTATAGTGTCATTTATTGCCATCTAATTGCTACTTAAATATCATATACTCAAAAAAAAAAAAATCACGAGTTTCATTTGGCTCCAGATTTCTGGAAAGCTATAATCTAAACAAACAAAATGACCAAGACATGAGTATGTATGATACATTGAGTACCTCATGTGTAGTGAGCACTGTGCAATTCATTGTTTGAATAAAGCGACATATAATAAATATATAGCGGTACACATAAACACGCTGGTTGTCTAAGTGTTGCTATAATTGGAAAGAAATCAATAAATAACGTCCTTGGTTCTAAAGAGAAGGGTATTCAAGGGTGGCAGTAATGGGAATGGGAATGTTTTGTATTTATGCTGACCTGTACCATAACCACTACCTACTAGTGGTACTGAATGATTGAAAGGGTAATGGTGCTGAGAAAATGAATTTTCATTTATTTGCTTTTCAGTAATTTAGATTTAAATGGCCACACATGGGTGGTGACTAATGGAAGCCTTGGGATCTATGTCACTTAGAGTTGAATTATTTAGTGCATTTCATTTTATAGGTCCACATTTGTCCTCTGCTAAACTTTTTAGTAAAAGTTGTCCATATCTAGGCATTGTGGTACATTCCTGTAATCTCAGCACTTGGGAGGCAGGAGGATTGGGATTTTAAGAACAGCCGTAACTACATAATGAATTTGAGGCCATCGTGGGCTCCATAAGACCCTGTACTTAAAAATTAAAAATACATGTAAGAAAATGGAGTTTAAGTATAGTTTTTCCTTGACTACTACTTCATGCAGGTGCTAACAAACAATATAATCTCTAAAAAATAGATCTGGAGAATTTAAAGAACTTGGATAATCCCAATTCAAAATAGTGGTGCATAGTGGGGCATGGTAGCACAAGCCTAGAATCCTGGCACTTGGGAAACTGAGACAGGAGGATCACAAGTTCAAAGCTAGTCTAGGCTACATGGTGAGACCTGGTGGTCTCATAAAGATTGACTAATTAATTAAATAGCATTGCCAGGTTAGTTGGGAATTGACTCTCTCAATAATAGAGTTAGCTGTGTGATATTTTGGACCAGAAATGCTGTTACCTTTCTTTTCTGCCCTGTCACTAAACTAATTGAAATGAGTGAGTAAACTATTTAAACTCCATGAGCTCCTCCTATTATGTATAAAATAACTATTAAGATACAGCTTTTTCAAACTTGACAAGAGAGATCCAGCTGGAAGAAAAGCACTGTGTATGTTTGAAAGGTGATAAGCTCATGGAAAAAGACATCTTTTGTAATATATTCAGAGATCATTGTTCTATTGCAATAAGGTTACCAAGTTTCCAGTCCCCATGAAGGTTTGACTAAATGGGTCAAACCTCTCTACTGTGAATTTCTATCTCGAGCATGGCTACAAAAGTAGTCTTTTAGAATACCTGTTTTTGTAACTAACTTTGAAATCCAAACTAAGTAAAATACATTTTTTTCACAGCTTCAAGAAATACTTTATGAGGATGTGTGTGTGTGCGTGTG